TCGAACATGGTGCACGAAAAACACAAGATAGATGATGAACTCATAATAGAAAAACTTGGATTAAAGAGTAAAGGTAAGAGGATTCTTCTCTATATCGAGGTACAAAGCGAGATCATCCACCGGATTGCTCTAGAATCCAAATCTAATGAAGAACACCAAGAGAACTCGTGGTGGCTGCTCCTTATGATAAAACTAAACTAAATATTTTGGCACACCCCTAACAAGAGGCTAAAAACAAGTATATATAGGCTTAGGGTCTTCTAGGGCTTAGTTTAGGACAAAACGGTCTTTTACGTCGAAACTGCTCCAATGTTGGTCACGAGTATCGGTCCAAAGTCATGACCGGTACTGGGAGTTAAATGACCTCTCTTTTGTGCTGGAATCGGCTAGAATATTGGTCCACGGAGCAGGCCGGTATTTGGCCCGATATTGGTCTTGCTTCAGCTTTGAGGCAGCTTGACATGTCTCCAGTAAATCCAGTGTATCTTCTTGCTCACAGCTCCAATTTAGATGATTCAAACTTTATTGTGAAGCTAACACAAAGATATATCTGACCACCAAGTTTCATCGAATTCCAAATTGATTTGCTTCTCCGTTCACTGCTGAACTTCTGGCCTATATGTTCTGTCCAATTTGGTAGAATGTTGTTTCTTGTGAATTCTTGGGTCTTGATGTTTTTTTTGGCTTGTGAAAGTTGTTGTAGCTTGGTTTACTCCTATCTAAAACTATAAATACGAGAAAAATACCTCTAAAGGCGTAATACCGTAGATAAATGCGTAGAAAACATAGTAAAATAGATAGTAAAAGTGGTAAAATATAGGGTATATCAAGAATAAACTTATAATAATTAAAATTAAAATTTTCAAAACTATTTAGAGCATAAATACAAATAAAATGTGGGTTTGCTCTGAGAAAGTGCTTGTTTAAAATCAATTAACTCGATTCCTTTGTCGGTCTAGACTTCCTTTTGACTTTGGACTTTTGGTTCCTCTAGCATTATTAGCCTTTGGACTTTCAAATTTATCGTTGACTCCAAGTAAGTCTTCAATGTCATGCTTGACAACTAATGCTTCAAGGTGTTTTCAAGCTTTTTCTCGATAGTTTCCTTGTCGTTTGACTCATCTTCTCTTGGAACAATGATCTTGATCAGCATAGACTCATATATAAACATCTTTTTTGCTTTGTTTCCATTCTTAGTATCCACTTTAGGTGTTGAAATCGAATTGACATCCTTGTAAACATCCTTATGCTTCACTTTTGACGGTTTTGCAACTATCTTGGCTTTAGCTTTAGGGTCTCCTTCTTTGACGTTTTGGACTCCTTTCTTGGAATCTCCAGGGTCTATACTAGGCTTCATAACCACTACAAGAAAACAGCCAATGAGTGACTACTTTTTGTGACTGTTTTTTTTGTCACAAAATTTTGCGTCTGATTTGCGATTGTTATGTGAAACATTTGCGACCACTGATAATAGAGTGTACAAATGGTCGCAACTTTACGATCGAAAAAAATAGTCGTATAAGCGTCTTAAAATAGCGACTAATTTAAGACTACTATTGGACTGTTTAAGTGTGGTCGCAAATCAGTCACAGACTCCAGACTGTTTTGTGACGATGGTTATG